AAACCCACTACATTACAACGATAATTTACACTTATGAATGGTGACGCCATTTAAGCTCTATGTACTTTAAAGAAATCTGAGAATGATACCTAGACATGCGGAGCCCGCAAGTAGCATCAAAGTGACAAGCAGCTTGCGGTTCGTTCTTCTCTTTGTCTTTTTTGTTTTCAAAAGCGGATCTTTTGAGACTTTGCGCATATGCACAAGAATATGTAGATATAGGAATGAAATAAGAAGGACGAAGACAATGAAAGGCGCCACCAATACCCATCGGACTACGACATTTCCTGAAATGCACACAATATTCTAATAATCCGTCTATATGTTGCAACAACGACTAAAAAAGTCTACCACGCTTACTTAAAATTCCTCCACCATTGCAGCCATCTTTTGAGAAGAATGCGAAAGGAATTGGAGCACGAAATCCACCAGGCACTGTACAGAACATTACCAAAAATACTGTAGAAGGTACAAAATATGCCAATGCGATCGCACACCGAACGCTACGAGGAGTTATGACATGCCTACATAGCAACATATAATTTTTAAAGATTGATTTAAAAGGTGGAATTCTACGCTTGTGATGGGCTACTAATAAGGTTTATCTTGGCTGCCTCAAGTGTGCAATGAATGGATATAGCCCGTACTTCAATGGGAAGCATAACTTTCTCAGAATTTTGGCATGAAATCTCAATTTTTAGTGATTCTGAGCCTTACCCTCTCTTACTTTAACGGGTTTCGATAACTTACCGATGAAGTGGATAAACAATTCCTATGTAGTGATTAAGTGCCAAAGCTAATAACGTGAAGACAGACGCAAAAAATGTTGCCAGTTTGAAAACCTAAGTAGATGGCATTAGATAAATATGATATCTCGGATATAAAAAAAACTTACCTCTAGCAGAAGCGACCAACAATTTGAGAGTATGTTTGGTAAGATTACGTTGATCATATAGGTAAGAATATAGAAAAATGCGCAAAGTGCATCTGACGCAGTCAGACTTACACACAAACGTAGATTCACGCCTATTGGCCTTCGAAGGTACCGTGAGCACTAAAACTATTCTCATTTCGTTAAAT